TAGGGGGTAAAAGTACTTTAAACTGTATAAATTCAATTGAAAAAAATTGGCCAATCACGAGAAAGTTAGCCTATATGTTATTTAGACAGTTTTTTGAGATATAGCAACTGTGATGTTAAACACCACTGGTGTGATTTAACAATACCGTTCTAACAGAATTGTAGCTTGGATAAAAGGCAACAAATCTGTAAGAATGTTTGCTAAAATATTCTGTACTTGAGTTATAACACTTTTTATATTTTATATATAAATATTGGATGTTTTTTGTTGTCCAGTGCTGCATAACGATTATAGAAAAAGAGAAACCAGTTAACTTATGTTTGTATAACATTTATTATTGTTTAATCGTTTGGGAGGTAAAGTGGTGGTCGACAGATTGACATATAATGAAGTATCTACTCGGTCTATATGAATAAAGAGGTCATTTATATGATTATTTGATTAGAAACGAATGTTTATTTATATCCTTCGTAGGATGTTATATGATCTGCCACTTTACCTAGCCCGTCATATTACCCTTTTTCACTTTTACACCTTATAAAAATCAAAATTTTGTTAAATAAAAATCAACATTAGCATAGCATATTAAGTACCGTAATTTGCCGCATAAACCACGCGGGGTCTCTTACATTTCACCCTCTTATTTAATTAGTGAAAAAAAGAAAATTATTAGTAAAAAATCACGTGGGTCTACTGTAAAGGGGTGGTTTATGCGGAAAATTACGGTAGTTATTCAGAAGATCAAAAAATATAAAGGTTTGATATAAATTAACTTTTATTAATATATTTTTGATTTTATGTCTTGCAATATATTGAGAACCAGGTTTTAGAGTTTGGTTCAGAACCAAATAATGTCTAACTCAGGTTTGGGAATTTATTATGTAAAGACCTGGTTTTTAGGTTTTTAATTTAGAATCTAAACCAACCTAAACTAGCTTTACCATCCCTAACTGTCTTGTTCTTTCAGAATCATTTTAAATGCAAATGGTTCAAATTTTTTACCAGTTCCTTCATAAAATTTATTGTTAAATTCGACCCTAATAAATTTAAAACCAGTTAGTTAAATAATCCTCATAGTAGATGAAACGTAACAGTAAATAATGATTACCAATGCAAACGTAAAGCATGTAAGAAGGCTGATAAACCTTCCATTAACAATAAAATAAAAACCGTTAAACTGAACCATAAACAAAATGCAATAATGAACGCAATTGTTCCTAATACACCAGACATTCCAAGTGTAGGGCTGAGTGTCATATCCCATAGTACTGACGAAAGTTCTTAAAGAAAAGGATAAATAAGTTATTTAATATTACAGATATTCAATTATAATAAATACAATTCCCAAGATAATAAAATACTCACGAGCATGTGCTAAACTTAAAGCCCATAACCGTAAATAACTAGCTGTATTTGAAATACAACCTAAACAAAATTCAATCGTATGTATAGACTGATGAATCATAATTTCAGCAAAATCAAATTCTTCTACTTCAAACATTTCTTCAGCAACCACAGCACCACCGTATTCGTTGTTTTCATCGGTTGACACACGTGTAGCGTCCGTTTGAGGGTTATGATAACCCTGAGAACGAATCTTCTTATGATCGTGTCTCATAATAAGAGGTTTTGCAAGCAACATCCATGGCACGCATATTATAGCAATACAAAGAAGCATGCCTTGAATAAATCCCTATAATATTTATAATTAGTTACATTTATTGCATAAACTCTGGATATTTATACACTTATGACTCACCTGTCCAGGAAATAATTTATCCTCTTCAGCCACAACACCGGGTTGTAAAAACATATAAATCAACATATTTAATAATCCTGGAGGTGAACCATAAACCAGTTTACCATTATCATCACGTTTATGCCAGTCGATAGACCACTTTAGTATTATTGTAAATACAAGGTAGCCAAATATGCATTGCATAAATAACATTTGAGGAACGAACTCAGCCCAGATGCTTAATCGCTTTTTAAAATAGGTATAATTATACACTGTAAGGATGATGCCAAAGCTCATCTTTTGAAAATGATAATTATAATAACTTTAGACTTTATTTGCGTAGTGAAACAACTAAAAGATCATTTAGACATGATTCAGACCTGAATAACACCTAAGATAATTGACATTTTCATCTTATACGAATTGGTAAAAACCAAAAAGTTATCCGACCCATGCCATGCCTGAAAATAATAACCCAAATTATAATTAAATAGTCTTGATAAATTTTTAAAAGTATCAAACACTCACAGGATCAATACCAAAAGGATAAACCCCAATTTGCTGAGCTTCAGTTTGATTAGGGAGCCGCCGAAATCCGGATGGGAATAATCTAAGTGGTAGTGAAAAGCAATCGTTGTATATCAATCCAGTATAGATGGAGAACAAACCCATCAATAGAATGATGTAGCGGCCACTAAAGAACGTAGCAAATATCTAAAAACCATTAATCATAATTAGTTCATGAATAAATTTTTCAAATAAAAATAATTTAGTCAATCATTTGCAAGAGATAACACAGACCTCGTCAGTTATGCTTCCCTCTAACTTTTTCTCGCGGATAACAAGATATAACGCAGCTGCTGTGACCAACAATCCATGACCAAAATCACCAAACATGACAGCAAAAAGGAAAGGGAACGTAATAATAGTGAATAATCCGGGATTAACCTCTCTATATTTTGCCACACCGTACGCGTCAACTATATCTTGAAAGCCAACAGTGAACTTGTTGACACGAATAAAAGTAGGTGGTTCTTTTGTCGTGCGAAGCTCGTTTAAAATTGATGGTACAGTTGAACCAGATTGATCCTAGAAGAAAAAAAATGTATACATTAACATTAAAAAAAAAAGAAAAATAAAATTTGCAAAGATCAGATATCATACAGTAGCAGTTCTCAGAGCTTGATTAATTTTATCGAAGTCATTACTCGGACACCATCCCTCTGCAATTAAACACTTGCGACTCGAATCGTAATTAAATAAATTCATTGTATGATAAATTGCTTTCTCTTTCTTAACGATTGTCATCCAAATATTCAAATTCTCAGAAATTTTTTGCAACTCTGTTCTTCGAGTATTTTTAGTATTTTGCAAGACAACATTAAGGTCCTCAATTTGTAATGTAATTTCAGTTAATTTGTTATCCCTCAGCTCAGGGCTGTCATCTACGGGATAAAGGGTTGCACCTAATGATTCCGATATTTTCTTGATTTTATTTAAGATTTCTTTTCCGTGAGCAAATATAATAAATACGTTTTTCTCTAGTACTTCATCGGTCTCTGGATCGGTAATTGGTTCATCAATTTCAACATATTTCAGGTATAAGTTTCCACGCAATGCACGCCAAAGTATACGTTCAAAAGTTTGCATTTTTGCTCGCGCAATAACCCCAGTAACAAACCTAATTTTGAGATGATGATAAATAATTTAAGAATTCTTAGAAAAATACTAATCTTCAATACTGACCCAAGATTAAGATGATGGAGAACCAAGGATTCACCATGTTCAATGTCCTGCTGTTGTTCCAGTAATGGTGCAGTAGGCTCATCAAAGGAATTGCGTATGGTATCTTGACGAGATGTAGCCTAGATGTAAAAGGTATTAAGTATATGCTAAGTCATTGAAGATCATGCAAAATGATTATTTTATCACACCTCATCAAAAAATATTCTAGTCTCCTGTAGCACGTATCTCATCTCGGTTAATTCTAAGTATTGTTTTTGTAAAGTCTCTGTAGAATTATTCATATTGGTGATGCGCCGTTCATGTTCTATAATTTTTCCTTCAAGGTCATCAATCTCTTGAGGACTTCGGGCATGTATATTTCGTACATCACCAGTGAGTGGTTGAATAGGGATATCAGATTTTTTAATTTGTGCATCAAAAAATCCTTTCGAAAAGAATGTGCAAGTTAATAAAATTGGCCATTTAAAAAAAGAAAAAAAAAAAAAACAATATTTATACAAGGTAAATATCATGATCGACTATTTGGTCATTACTTTCAAATTTCTAATAAACGTCTAAGACTAATTTCACAAAATAGTCATTGATCTATTCGAAATTATTAAAAAATCTCAAGCTTACTTAGATGTCTTTCTATTTCATCGAATCGCCTAATTTCCTTGACAAAAGCGCGTTGAAACGCATTAACATCAGGGTTCAACTAGATAAATTAACGCAAACGTATATATCCTTGAATTACATATTGTATCAGCAAAAAGAATTATATTTATTCCTAACACCAGTAATAAACATACATCTCGAAATTGAATCAAGCCTAATTCTCCTAATTCTGCAACGGTTGGTTGAGCAGTCTCTTGTGGTATATATAGTTGGATGAGAGACATCTCTTCCGATCGGAAGAGACTTGAATACGGCATTCTGGTTTACTTCGATGGGCTTACTGATTGGAACAAATCAGCACGATCTTTAAAGTCTTTTAGTTTACAAACAAAGAGGATAATCGCTTATTGGGAAGTCCCGAATCCCGTCAATAATTCCGGTGTGACAAATTAAAGAATTTAATTAGAATTTATCATTATTCATCTAATCTATATACGTATAACAGAGCGCTAATTTTATCTAATTTGGGGGGTCGCTTAAAGCCAGGTCCATCACGAGATCTTCCGTTATGCACGACCAATCAAAATCTCCAATTTTTGTTTACACGGATCAGCCCGACGAAGCAAAAAAAGTAAAAAATGCGAAAAATACAAGAAACCAATGTCTAAACCTATCTTGGTACATTAATAAAAAATGTCGAGGGGACGATTTTACATATAGAAACCTTTTAATATTAGCCCATACAGGCCCTAAACTGACCCTAACCTTAACGTTAATTTAAATTCATAATGGACCCGGCTTTAAGCGTCCCCTAATTTGGTGTAATTGATTCTGATTGATACGTATGTGTTTTTTTTTTTATTAAACGCCAATTTTATAAACTATAAATTATATATAAACTTTGACTTCTTATAGCAAAAAAAAATCTGCCAGAAATGTAGATAGAAATCTATCAATACGCCATACGTATACGTAGTGTTTTGTTTTGATTTTGCCTTCTTTTTTAAAAAAAAGTTATGCCAATTCAAAGTTTTTACCTACTGTCTGACACTATACAGTTTAAATATATTATTTATTTATTGATCGGTTTTGGCCACCTAATTTGGACAAATTAATAATCAAAATTTGGACATAGCAACAATCAAATTTGAACAACGTAGAGCTTCGTTATTCGAATAATACTCGTATTCGGCGAATTTTCGAATAAAGAATTATCTAATGAATAATTCGAATAGGCGAATACGTAAGATAATTTATTCGAATAATTTTTATTATTTATAATGTGAAACTTCAGTCATTGGCTGGCTCACATATAGCGACTATATATATATTATTAGCTGCACCGCATCCAAAAACTATATCGATATGTACTTATTCGAGTAATATTACGTACGTAGTTATTCGGCGAATATTGAATAAATATTTGCTGATTTAAACAATCAATTTTGAAAAACAAATATATTTTTATTAAAAAATATATTGTTATAGTAGTTGAATTTGATTGCTATCTTTTAAACTGTAATCCAGGCAAATTTGCCTGGAAAATTAAAGTATATTTAGTATTTTTTAAATAAAATAATAATTTATT